TAAAATGGCATATACCACAGGTCATTTGCAATATTTGTTGGAGCTGTCTCAAATGTTGGATCCTATGGCTTAATAATTTTGCCGACAAACTGACAAGAGCTTCTAACCCCACTTTGAAATATATGTTAATTATTTCAAATGAATGTTGGAATCACTCAATTGCTCCCCTCATTGATTTATTCTGTAATAAAATGTATAGGATTATTGCTAATATTTCTCTTAATGTCATTCATGAGGAGCTTTAGAGTCCATGACGTCTATGTAGTTCATCGAGCAGATCTATAAATATAGGTTTGTAATACGGAACATGTTATTGAATCTTGTAGTAGCTCATCAACCCATTTATCACCAATATAGTCGATGTCTTGCAGAGAGTTCAGTCGACGTATGAGTTGTAGTATTCGTACATCAAAACAACTGCCACCGAAATCTTTCTTCTCAGGCTCTCTCAATGTGAATTCATGTTAAAGAAGTGTTTTGTTCAGGTATTAAGTGTGCATTAAACAACATTAAAAGAACATCTAAAATCTGAAGATAGAGTATAATGAGCAGAAATAAATACAGAGCAGCATATAGATTGTTCATGCTAGAAAGGAAAATATTCAAATCAAATAACCCATGAAACAAATGAAAAAAGAAACCAATGCCACAAAACAATAACTCTACAAAATCATTTATCCATAAAAAAAATAAAAAGTCGACCCTAAGTTCGAGGAGTATCTTCATAAATATTTGTTTGTAGATCGGGTTCTCTAGCAACTTCAAAGTGATACGATAGAACTTATCCGACCTAGCTTCGGATATCTCCAGAACTCAGAGAGAGTCATCTATGGAGGTGTCATGTGAAGCACCAGCATGAATTGTGCACGCTTCCACCTGTTTTGTTTTTTGGCTTCTGACGAAAGCACCTCATTTTTTTCCTTCTCTACCTTAGGTTGCTTTGACCGGCATGTAGACTCCAACTCCTTTCGATTTAGGCTGGGGCCTTCATTTGACCCACTTATTTGCTCGGTCTCCAAGTCCTCTGGTATGTTTGTAAACTCATGCGCACTTGGGGTGAGCACGTGTGGTCGTCGCAACAACCCCACTGAACATACAGTCCAACTTCTACTCCAAGTCCGGCTCAATGCAACTGAATTTGAATTTCTTGAAGGCTGGTACTGCCTACAACATAAGAACAAGTTTATTACTTAAGCATAGTGAGATAAAGAATGGAAAAACAAGTCTTGAGTGGATAGGTTATTACCTCCAATTTCTCAGTACACCATTCCTCCGAAGAATCAATAGTTCATTTGATTGGATCCCAATCTAAGCCGTTGATCCCCAGCTTAGTTCCTTCCATAATTTTCAGCCACTTTTCAACTGAGTCTACTTGTTCTTAAATTGTAATCTACCACACTCTCTTCTTGTCATTTCCTTAAACTTCTTCGTAATATTTTGTCACCCTTCTCTGTTAAAGTAGATGGTGGGTCGATTTCCCAGCTCGACCTCCTTAAGATGGATGTCACAAAATATGATTGCGACTTCCTTACCCCACATAACTGATGAACCGGCTTCTTCAGTCTTAACCATTGCTTTACTAAACAAAGAAAAGGGAAAACATTAATAATTTAGATCAACCCACACTCACAGCCACCAATAGTCACAAACCCCCAACCACACACCCACAACCACCTCCCCTACACAACCACCACCTCTACCACCAGCCACCCCAACACACCCAACCACCACCAAAACACCCACAACCACCTCCCCTACACACCCACAACCCACTAACAGCCATCACAACCAACACACACCCAAAACACATCAACCACCACCACTTCACACCGACAGCCACCAACAGCTACCCCATCACATACTCAACCACCACCAATACGCCAACATCCACCTCCTTACACACCCACAACCCACTAATAGCCACCTCATCTACAGACCTCCACACCCAACGCACACCCACCACCAACACTACACACCCACAGCTACGTCCTCCACCACGAGCCACCCCAACACACCCACAACCACCACCAACACACCCACAACCACCTCCCCTACACACCCACAGCCACCTCCCGTAAACACCTACACACCCACCACCACCACTACACACCCACGCACACACCCACAGCCTCCTCCACTACACAGCCACAGCCCAGTAACAACCACCTCCCCTACACACCCACAGCCACATCCCCTATACACCACAACCAACACACACCCACAACCACCACCTCCACCACCAGCCACCCCAACACCCACCCAACCACCTCCAACACACCCATAACCACCTCCCCTACACACGCACAGCCCACTAACAGCCACCTTCCCTATACACCCACAACCCACTAACAAGTTGAATGATCCAACCATCACTATATCCCGGAAAAAACTTTCAAGTATGATAGGGCTGCCTCATAACAATCATCATAACTACTATCATACTCGGCATATTTTTCCCATCAAATTTGATCAGTTCGAAGTTTAGTAAAAATCTAAGGATCCCCCACCCAAAAAAAAAAATCTTCCCGTAGCCTCAAACAATTTCGTTTAGAGTTTAATGAAAGAACAATTCACCCAACAAGCATGAGCAACGAATGTGTCAAGTACACCAAGGCACCCAAAACAATGCCTATTGAACAAATCAGGCACCCTATTTCATTCATTCTTCAAATTCTCAATAAAACATCAAACCAACTCAAAAACCACATCAATTGAGAAAGCCAAAAAACGAATGAAGAAAGTCATTCCATTAAAAATTACCACAGGACTAACTAAAGAAATACTACAAATGAAGCACTCTCTTATATCCATTTGTCAAATTCAAGATCAAGCAAAGAAAAATAAAAACAGTAGAGAATGTAGATTTTAGGCAATTACAACCAAGGCACCCGAAACAATGCTCCTAAACAAATCAACAACCTTATTTCTATTCATCAAATTCGCAGTAAAACATCAAACCAACCTCAAAAACCCCATCAATAGAGAAAGCCAAAAATCGCATGAAGAAAGTCATTCCATAAAAAATTACCAGAAGATAACTACAGTAACCAAAGATTGGAGGGAGGAGGAAGAGGAGAAGGAAACGCTACGCGTGAGAGAGATAGAGGCACAAGAGAAAGTACCCATGGGTTCGTGAGAGAAATCGAAGCTAGGGCAGATGAGATGCGAGAGAGGCACGAGGTCGAGGGCAACGGGGTAACTATTATGCGAACGAACGCGGGTCGGGCCACAGAGTAGAACTCGCGGCCGCGTTTAATAGAATATTGTTACGGATTATTAGGATAAGCTCCCACGCTGCATGAAACATATTCCCCTGAAAGAGTTTTCAAAACTCACCGCACCAAATAAACTTGCCCCGAACGGGCCTGAAGTGATGTTGGCACAAGCATACTAACCAAGCAATATTGTACATCAAAAAATAAGAAAACATTAATTATTAAGAACACACTTTATCAACTAATTCTCTTAGTATCCAATCCAAATTCCTCCAAATCCATATTGCAAATTTAATCATAATTTTAAACAAATCAATCCTTACCTTATCATTTACCACGATATGGGTTAAGTTGTAACGCACAACTTGCAAATGGCATCTTAGCCAACCATTGCTTATTTTTCTTCTTAATCAGGAAAAGTTGTCATACATTAATTTTGTATGATATCCTAATAAGCCTTTGAATACTTCTGTAAAGAACACTTGCACCTTACAAAGCTTTAAAATGCAAACAACTTACATGAAATAAGTAAGTTAATTAACAATACAATAACATTTGAAGCTTTGTTTTTGATACTAATTTGATGCTCGATGGAATGTAGAAAGACTTTAAATCAAGACAATGGCTTGAAGTGAAAATAATACGGACAAAAAGAAGGCTAAAAGAAAAAATAAAACTAGTTGATAAGATGATTTAAAATGAAGAGGAAAAATGAAAGAACCGAATCAGCAATGTGTAATATAATCATCACTTACAGTTTTATACCTGTTACAAAGGGCCATCAAAAGAAAATAAAACTTCTATTTCTTCATAAATCATCATAAAATAGTGTGGTAATCCAAAAGAATCTTATTTATTGAGTAGGACCCTTAATAATCATCAAATAAGTTTAATAATAAATGACCTAAATAACTATGCCAATGTTAAAATTATCATAAAGGTCCAATGGCATGAGATATCTGTTAGCATGCCAGTAGAACATGGATTGCCAATAAGCTCCTAATAAGGTATTAAAAAATTGCATGCCACTGATATAATGGTGTAATTTTTGCATGGAATGTTTTTTTTATGCTACGCATTGTTATCAACTTTGGTACATACAGATTCAAAATATCATGCATAAATACGTCAAAATTTGAAGACAACGAATGAAATTTATAATATTATTTTTTTTTTAATTTAATTGCAATGGATATAATCAGGTAGCTAAATCAGAAGAGCACTCCTTTCTGATTCTTTTATACTAAAATCATTAATAACATTGAAAGGCAAGATTTTAGCTATTCCTTTTAGATATTTGCCAATGGCACAAGTTGAGTTTGGCAAGGAGTGAGCTGGCCAGTTCAATTATGCATCCAGTTTTACACAATATTGAGTGTGTGCTTGTGTGTGTGTGTGTGTGTGTGGCAATTCAAGAAAGAACACTGTTTTGCATTTGAATTTATAAATTCCTATTCTCTTTATGATCCAAAAGTATTGATTCTCTTAACCCAGCTTTTAGAGATATGTTTGGTGCATTCAATTAAAACTCACATTTATAAATTTGTAAATTTGATAACACCCACTTCATTACTACTAGGAGATACTCTTTGTTGCCCTCTGTACCACATAAACATTTGATTCTTAAAATCAGAGCATGTTTCCCATGCATCGGCATTGAGATTTTACTGATGATTATATAAAGTTGAGATAACTATACTAGTCTGTAGACAATATAAACCCACAAGACACAAACAGAATCATACATGGTGAAAGGAAAAAAACTAAGAGAAGCATAAGACTCACCTTTCACTCATTCCTGACTGAAAGAGTGCTCGCAAATAACCACAGTTAGACAGCAATATGACCCTGTTAGCATGAATATGTGGCATAGTGGACACACATATAGTACAAGTCCAAGTCGCTCCAGTCATCTTATTCGCTTCCAATATAATGTCCCTGTAAAACATAAGAAGAGGCATCAACATATTCCAAAACAACAGGAAACTCACAAAAAATAAAAACATAACAATTCATCTGATGAAAAGTCTTAGTAATGAGCGAAATTGAACCATAGGGAATTCTATGCTGTTTCTTATTTCTACCCTGAGGATATAAAATACATTATGTCTATGATACATTGAAAAGATTACTAAACCAAAACTACAACATAAGACCTCATTAAATATTCCATATTCAGAATTTCATTTAAACTGTATCCATATTTCTTTATCGTTTTTTGGGAAAAGAATTTGCCAAATTTTTGCTATGGAAGCATCAATCCAGGAATAAGTGCGATAACAAGAAATTATAAGAAAACATCAATTATCACAAAAGAGAACACTAAGCTGAAATCAAAAATAGAGAAGAGAGAATATGATCCACTAACAAAAATGACACAATTATAGTGCGCATAATGACACTCACTAGCGCTCCTTAAAACCTATGTATACCTTGGTCCAACAAAAAGATGAGAAACTGCAAGTCCCTTTAAATAAGCATAGAAGAATTAACAAATAAAGAGACGTAAAAGAATATCTCAAAACCCCACCTTTAAAATTCCTCAAAAGTTACCACCATTTTAGTCAAGATAATATTTCAAACCCCCAAAAACGAACTAATCGTAATTTCCTTCTCTTTCTTTGTACTTCTTCCTCCTAGCCCTCTTCTCAGTCCTCCTCAAACCCTTCAAAAATGCTCAAAACTTCCTTATGCTTCCATAGAAAACTTTCAAGCATCAATTTAGATAAGCACCAACTCAATGAAAACTAACATATGCAAAATCAGTTGAAATTTCCAGGCTTTCACATAAAAAGCTTTATGCTTACTTCACCGCGTGATTCATGCACGGATAGCTAACCAATATCTAAATAATCATCGAACCCATTTTTAATTTTTTACACAGGAAGCTCGATACCTACCTCATCATTCAATTCATGCATGATTATTAAGTCAACAACAATAAATCTTCCCCCTGACTCAATATCATGTCAAAAATTGGATCTCCTATGTAGCAAGTCCTCTCCAAAATGAGTACTCTAAGCTCCTAAAGCCCTGAAAAGCTTAACCCCGCACAATCTCATCACATTTAGATGCCCTTTTGAACAAAGTAACCAAGGAAAATTGCATAGCAAAATTAAATGGCATAAATGCTACACTTTGTAGTTGTACGATCAAAAAAAATCATGCAACTCCCACTGAATTTTCATACTATTAAAGTAGCCATCTCCTTACATTACAATTGTAATGGTACAGCCTAGCACTGGAATAGATTTGAAACAAAAGACTAATCCTATCAATAATCACCAAAAAATTCCCCCTACACTTGTGCCTCCAATGGTTTTGAAACTTCTCCTGATGCCTGGAAGCTAATTCTCCTTCGCTTCTTCAAATTGTGATACTTCAACAAAGTCATTCAATCAAATCTATCATTACTAAATATTGTATTCTGCAACATATAGAGTCCACCAACTCTATTTGAGCAATAGCATCAGTAAAGAACCTATATTTTGTAGCACTTCAAATATTTAAGGATATTAAATTCTATCCCACACCTGGTATATACAATGATTCCAACAAACGAAATACTCATGTTATCACGAGTCCTCAGCTTTACAAGATCAAACCTCCAGCCTTACACAGCTCCATTCTCATGTCAACACAGAGGCTATAAATTGGCTTATACGTAAGAAAATATCTCCAAAACAAATACATATGCTTTAAATAAGCTTAAGTTCAAGATCCATAAATCTTTGCATCGATCTCTATCAATACCAAGGAGCATAAACAATATCATAATCAAACCAATTTCTAACTACACATGCATTTTCTAAGTTCTCCCCTTGATTCCTATGCGAACGCTAATCTTTCCTCCTCAAAACATAAAAATCTAAGTTAAAATGGCATCTCTTCAAACAATAAAAGCAAATAATTTCCTTGAAATGCCAAAAGAATTAATTTTTTCATGGTAAGAAATGGAACCTTCCTCGAAAGATTTCTCCCAAACCAATAATCCAACAACATCTCATTTCTTGCACTCTAAAGATTAGAAATCACAGCTTTAAAAATGAGAGAATTTTTTTTTATCCTTAAAGCTACTTGTAGTCTCCCATGCAACATGGTATCAAAAAAAATGTTTATGCGAGGGAGATAAAGCATTAAAAAAGCAAAACACAATCTTTGTTATCAATAATCAGATTAATATTCATCAATCTTCAATAATAGAACTAAAGTCATTTAAATATATTTTAAAAGGCAAATCTTCCTACATGTGAAACAAGTAGCATTCCAACTTCTAATAGAATTTGTTGGCGATACTTTTGATTATATACAAAGGCTTCAACCTAACCAATACGCCTTTTTTGGTTGTTTACTTTAATAATCTATTCGAAAAATATAGTGGAAATGTGAAAAAGGTTCTTTCGTCCTTTCTCCTTTCTTATTCACTCATAATTTCAAGCATCTTCGCATGCTTTATGAGTAAATCACATGTCCCAACCGAACTTAAACACTACAGATCATAAATCTCAAAATTCCATAACTCCTCAAGTCATCGAGCTTCTCAATCTCAAAGTTTATTGTCAACTTGTTCGTTAGAAGCCTCCAATCGGATACTAGTTCTTTTCATTTTCACCGATGGGACAGTAGTTAGAAAAAGGGTGTGGCTAGTTTTATGCTACAAAATCTTCAACCCAGAAGCACGTACAATAAAACACAATAATTATAAGAAACATCGATAACTACAAAAGGTAAAACAAAATTTCTATGGTTCAACTTAATTATGCCTACATCAATATGCAAGAAAATAAGATCCAATTCATTGATGTACCCAAAATCCATCAAATGAATCTTCCTTGGGTATGCTTCTAAAAAAAGGGATATAACTGCTATTCTTCTATTATAAGAAAATACTATAACTCCATGATGCTGCCTTCTTTAAAACCCAACCCTACTATCCCAATTCTAATATTTAGGGGGAGAGTTCGAGTGAATATCAGACTTGGGACACTACTCTAGATTCATCATAACCTATTCCACTTTTCTACACTATCCTGGATACCCACTCTGATCTAGATTCATCACAAGTTATTCTACTTCCTTCTAATCCTCCTGTCTCTCAAGTTTCAGTAGTTGAGAACATCCAACCTGAGATTAGCAACATAGAACTTCTTGTGTATACTAAAAGAAAGAAATTCACTAAGTAGAATAAAGATAATACGTTGCCATAGACAATTCATAACCAAACCTCACACATCTCTGAAGTTCTAAGGGAGGCAAAATCTTAGTGGAAAAAACTAAAAAAGATACACAAATTATTCTATCCAGGATTATGCTACATATTGGAAGTTATCATAAACTTATAAAGCTTTTGTATCTAATCTTGATAGTGTACAGATGCCCAAGTCTGTTCACGAAACACTTCAAAGTCTATAATAGAAATAGGCAGTTGAAGAGGAGATCCAGGCTCTTGACATAAATGTCATATGACTCTTTGCAAACTTTCAGGGAGAGAAAATACACTAATGTTAAAGGGAGGATACCAGAGAATGGTGGGTAAGCTTATCTACATATTATGCTAGATCTGATATTGTGTTTTATGTTGTCATTGTGAGTCCTCATATGAATAGTCTGAATGAAGAACATTTGGAGATGACTTACAGAATATTGATATTTCTTAAGAAACCCCCTGATAGAAGGTTATTGTTTAAGAAAAGAAACAACATGGAGGGTAGAAATTTACTGTGCTGCTAGTTGGGCAGGAGAACACACAGACAAAAGGTGAAATTATAGGTATTTTTTCTATATCTAGGGAAAATCCAATTGGGAAAGTGTCAGGCCCGGTTAGGATAACCACCAGAAAACGAAAATCCACAAGAGGAAAGAAAAAGTCAAGCCCGATTAGGATCTCCACTAAACAGGGAAAAACTAGCCGAAAATAAGGAGTGACTCCCGCAGAGAAGGAATAACGCTTGCAGGAAAGGATCGCCTACAGGTGCTGAGCGTCTGTAGGGAGACAATCTGACGGATGGCCAGTAGGGTCTAGCGCCTATAGAGAGAGGCTCAGACGGAGGAAGGAGAGCTAGGATTTGCTTTCAGGCCTTGATACCATGAAAAGGTGAAGAAAATCATATTATCTTATTTCTCAAAAATCAAATCACGATTCTTCTCCTTATATAATAAGGAACTATTAAAGAAAGTTTGATTACAATAATTAGAACTTACCAAAAAAAAATTAACTCAAGAAAGAAAAGAAATATGACATATTAATGAGGGAATAAAACTAAAATAGGAAACTCAAAATTTTGAACAAGCCTTCATAAAACTTGAATAAACTTCTTAGCAAATAAAGAAGAAACCTAACTCTTTTTAGACAAGTAAAACAAAAATAATTTAAAAGAGACAACAAAATAGGATGAGTAAACAAAGGCCCAAAAATAGCAAAAGTTCTCAAAAAGGTGTTGTCAAATTTGTCTATGCAATACAATGAATTCCAAAAAATGATCTTATAAATCCATTCTAGTTCTTTTTCTAACATGAGAATTTACCAAAAAAACATATTGCAATAATGTAGCTGCTACAGTACCGCAAACAATCATATCACGGGAGGCGTCAAAATAACTGTGTTTTCCTTTCTTATGTTTTCTTTCCTATTATCCATTTTTTTGGTCATTTTCTATATATATTGTATTAGAGTTTGAGGATTCAGTTTTTAATATGTTCTGTTTAGGACAGTCACTGACGTCTGTTCTTCTCCATTTGAGGGTTGTATTTAACGGATTGGGTGGTGCTCCAACTATATCCCTCTCCCGAGAGTGTGATTATCATCCCCTATAATAGCATTCTGTTTCATTTAATTGAAGTCATGAGAACCGAAGTGAGGAGTCGGGAAGCCAAAGATGGGGGAGGTGAAGCGAGAGAGTCAAGAAGACGAATGGATCTTTTTTGTATAAATCCTCACA